GTTTCTGAATTGTATGCATCCAGATTTTGCAGATCTTTCCAAACAAAAATTATAAAATATGCCCGAAGCCTACCTAAATACACATCCCAAAGCATTAGTCCGAATTTCTCATGCTAATCATACAGTGATTAGGTCACTGAAGACACTGAATGGTGTCTTCAATGTCACCTCATTTTTCCAGGCACCTGCACAAGGGAAAACATTTTTTCTTTCTGGATAAATTTCAGATGTATACCTATTTCTCTTTATTCCTCATTGAAATAGGTGTTTATAGATTGTGGGGATTGTGCGCATGTAACTAACACCAAGCATGAAAAGCCCTCAACATTCATTTAAGCAAGCACCTTCTAGCCAAGAGTCCTATTAAGGAATTGTTGTAGTTATTATCTCTGTTAAAAGCCACTCTTGATACTGTGCAGAGATAGCAAGCAATGATCTTTATATTAACTAACTGCCATCAACTAAGACTTTTCTAGAAATTCTTCTATACATGGGATGCTATTTGTTCAGCCTTTTACTACAGTTTAAACAATATGTATGGAGGGGGGGGGGGAAATATCAGCTAACAGATAGAAAATCATTAAAGAGATATCCAGTCTAAAACTAAGAAGAAATTTCTGACAGTGAAACAAATAATTGATGGAATAGCTTACCTCTGGAAGTTGTGTGTGCTCCATCAATTGAAGGTTTTCAGAAGAGACTGGACAGTCATTTGTCCAGAATGATACAAGATCTCCTGCTTAAGCAGGGGGTTGGATTAGAAGACTTCCAAGATCATTTTCAATCCCATTATTCTATGTTCTGTTAAATATTCTACCTATTATAGCAGGATCATCTGACATTACTTGAGCCTCATAAACATATAGTAATTTTATTCTCTTAACAGATAACATTACTAATAAATGGTTCTAAGGAGAGAAGAAAATAATGGACGGCAATAACCTAAAAGAGCAGGCTGATCAGTCTATAATATTTTGTAACAAAGGAAGGAGTGCGATAAAATGCCAAAACACTATATGTTGTTGGCTTCATTCAATTCTATTATTCTTCAATATATATCTATATATCTATATATATATCTATATCTCTATATCTCTATATCTCTATCTATCTATCTATCCATCTATCTATCTATCTATCTATCTATCTATCTATCTATCTATCTATC